CAATAAACTTTATCTTATCTTATCTTATCTTATCTGATTCACCTGTACTCTTGAATCCTTTTTCCGATCTAGTATGTATCAATGTTTATATTTTGAAGCTGATTTGTTTCAATTGTGGTTTCTCTAATTGCAGGAAAACATTGGAATTATCGGAATTAAACACATTAAACCTAGAAAAACGACAATATCTTCCACATTAATGATCTGATAAAAGTTTCATGGGTACCGTTATGAATCGGGCATGCCAGCTTTGTATGGAGGTTCTCTTGAAATTACGCTTACAGTTCCTAATCTAAAACTAGTGAGACCGGGCCGAATTTAGCTTTCCCGCTTTGTAAACAACCGAAATGGTCATAAATTCACATGGTGAATCTGCAGTCTTACTATTTTTATGTCATTAACATTTCCGCCGACGGCACTATTGACCTTTTTGACATATTTCGGTACCCATGACGTTATGAGTGCTCCATTGACATAATATGACCTCAAAAATGACCACTTGGAGGTCAAAATGGGCAGTTGTGACCTCGGGAGTCAAATCTTCGAAAAAAAGAGTGAAAATGGATTTACCATGGGTGTTTACCCCTATTTAGACACCCATGACGATGTTTGTGTGCTATTAATATAATTTGACCTCCTAAAATGACCCCTTAGAAATCAAATTGGCGGATAACGACCTTAGTGATAAATTTTTTCAAAAAACCAATATCATTGTAGAAACATGCATATGCTTTTACCATATAACGATACCTTGGACGGCTTGTGGTCGTTAAGACATAAGTTTACATTTGAGAATGTGTTCTTTTTATGCGTGAACAGACTCTTAGAAGGCCCCATAAAAAAAACTTTTTTGGCCAATCTAACTACCTAATACCTTGAACCTATCATAGAAATGGACTAATAACAAATGAAAGCGTTAACATCATTTCTATAAAAGTAAAAATATTCTTAATAAAAGTAACGATTTTTAAAGTTTTTTTTTTTGTAATCTCAGATTCACAAAAAATGTTTTATTTTTGTGCCCTGGTGGGTTAGATTAAATAGGAGGTGTCCGTAGCTCTCTTTACGTTTTTTAATGCATATTTTATTTTTGGATTGCTGTAGCTCCAAAAGTAATAATCGCTGATCCAAAAATTTTGTTAAAAATGAAACCTAAAACTAACAGCTTATGATTTGAGAAAAAATTTCGAAAATATTTAAATTTTTCCATTCTTTTTAAACGAAAATGAAAACGAGACATGAAAAATCGAAAAATTGAAAAATCCGGGAAATCAATTTTCGACTTACGTTCAAATAATTGGTTGTAACAAAAAAGTCTAGGCCTAGATGGAAAAATGTTACATCATGAAATATCTGAATTATAGAGCTTTTGAATGACACATTGATCGTAAAAATTTTACTAAAAATGTTTCCTCAGTTACTAATACCCCTACTGAAAAGTTTTTTTGAGACACCCTGTATAATTATATATATGGTCTTTACTTTCTTTTTCATGAATATATTAAATTATGCAAAACCTACAGTTGCAGTAGTATAATATTAAACGTAGAACATAAAGCTTAGATTATTTTATTTTTTAGCATCGAGGGACTTTCTTAACGACAGTGTTAGAAGGATATTAATGAGAGGTAGAATGAACCGTGAACACTGATAACCAAATGATTCCCCATTAGTTCGCTATTTGCAAGATAGAGGGTGCTAGTGGTAGTCAGATAGTTTATCATTTACCCTCCGTAGATCTCGCACCAACATCTGCGGAGATGTTCTCCAGAATATTATCTTCCGTCATTCCCGTCCCAACCCTAGAGAGAGAAGGTCTTTACTCCGGGTTCAGTGTAAACCAATGCTCAGCTACTCCGACTACCTGGATAAATAACCAAGATTCAGGTATTAATATATTTTTTTTTTGGCGCAGGCGCAACTTTGGTATTTAGTAAGGGGGGGAATTTTTTTTTTTAGAATAAAATCCTAGAATTTCTAATCTTTCTCAGACAAAATCATTCTTATTTCACATAATTTTAAGGCCCTCCACTTATGGAATGGCATGTCAAATTGACAATAGTACCCTTGAAACCTATATTTGAGCAATTTTAAATAAGTTTTAATCTTTAAATTCGGTTCTGTTCTTTAGCAACTATGAAGGACATTTTTATAATTGAACACTTTTCCACATCGTTGATGAGATAACAGTTTAATTATTGTAAATAGTATGCCCCTGTTTAAATAGAAGATCACATGGAATTTCAACCGTAGTCCCTTTAAGTGGGTTTTTATCATGACTAAAAACCCAAAAAACAAAAAAAACAGCTAATTAAAAATATAATGTTACAAGGTCTATTTTTTAATTCTTGACGTATACTGTATGTTATACAAGAATCTTCAATGTTCACCAATATTGATCAATTTCCATTTATTGACAACATTAATTTCCCTTGCATGCTTTGAAGCATGTTTATCATATTAAAGATTTTATAAATATAGTATATCATATCCAAGGTTGTAATGCAAGGAAAGTTACGTGTACTCTGCGTACATATTGAAACCAGTTCTCTCTGGACGGAGTTTGTAAACAAGAATTATAGATGCATCAGTGTTTGTTTAGTATCCGAGGAGGTTAAAAGCTTTTAATTTTGGTTATTTTGATAATTCACATAATAGTTTCCTATGACCAGAATATTTCATTGATTTTTTATGTGAAAGATGGATCCCATGTCAGGCTTCGACATCCGTCTTGTGTTTACATTACCGCCTAGAGACAGTACACAGCAGTATTTTATTTTATCAAAGAATAAATACGGAAAAACATATTATTTACACCATCAGGTTTCAAAGATATAGGGACTATAAAATTAGTGCTTGTGGCAAAGACTCAATTCATTTGATTTCTAAATTTATATGTAATGCGTGCAAATGGGACTATAAGATTACGATGATTTTTTTAATAACATATTTCCGTCAAAATTTTTAATAGGGGAAAATTTTTGAGATTTTTGTATAATTTCATGTATTAAGAAACATACAGTTGGATCCATAAAACTGTAAAATATAAAGACGACTTTTAGAATCAAGGGATGATTTCAAATGGGTAGACCATTATGAAACTAAGCAATTGTGTAATACAGACCCATTTCACCAAACAAGTTAATTTTCATTTTAAAATATTTAAATAAATATGATAATTTTTAAATGTGGTCTTATCATTCTACAGTTTTATGTGTCAGACTATATATATCCTTATAATAATTGCAATATTTCAATTTTCAGCCTATACCCCCTTTCATTTTTCCTTTACAGTCCCTTTAAATGTAATTTTTATTTTCAAAACAAAATCTGCAATATATATTGTTTGTTCAAACTCTGTTGAAATGGGATTTGTTTATCAATACTTTAACTCAGACCTTGCAACTTTTGAATATATATATATATATATGAAACCTAACCATAGCACTCTCATTTTTGACACTATCGCCGTGAAATTTTTGGACTTTTAAACGCCCCCCCCCCAGTCTATACATAGATTCAGACCCACCAGCCCTTAAAAGGGTTAAGCAAAGATTCTACAAAGATCGACAATCAAAATTTGAGGAAAATCGGTTCAGATGTTCTTTAGTTATGATCGGACAAACAAACAAACAGAGATTACTACTATATGTATGTATATATTAAAATGATTCATAAAATTTTAAATATTGAAATTTCTCTCAAATTGGAGAGAATCAAATTAGCTCATTTGAATCAATTTTTAAATTACCTTTCACATTTTTCTGCTTTTCCTTAGTTAGCTTTTAAAAATAATATTTCAGAAGTTGCTTGGATTTAAAATGTATAGAATTTTGTCCTGGACATTGGACATTGTGTAATGATACGAAAAGATGATACAAAATCTACCCCCCCCCCCCACATCACGGACACAAAATCATTTGTCCTTTTAATATTAGAAAGTATCTTTTTTTATTCTATATTTGTTCTTCTTTAGTTGTTTTTAAATGGCATCCCTTAATTCTAAGAATGACAAATTTACTAACCATGGGTAACCCTATAAACCATAGTGAACTTGTTTTACGCGGGCTGATCTTGCTTCCTGTTTTTCCTTAGGCTTAACTATTAGGTTTGGTTAATGATATGATTTTTGATAATCGCATGTAGCGTTGATTTGCCATGACTTGTAGAAAGCTGGATTTTAAAACAAAATTGAGTTATGTTGTTCTTTTCTACTTTTTTCAGTCAGTCATAAAAATAAAAAAAAATAAAAATGAATAAGAAATTTTTCCTTTTAAGAATTTATTTTGTTTTCCTCAGTCTCTTCTCTTCCGACTTTAATTTCCTTTTGTTTTGTGATTGTGTTCCCTGGGTTCACACTGGCTCCGTAAAAATTCTCTCTCATATTCTCCTACATAACTTTTCCTTCCTTACTAGTGCTGTCCTTACTGTAATTAAATTTGGTTTAACGTGACATACGTTAAACTAAAGTAAATTTCACGCAATAACAAAGCTTAAATGTTTAAATTTTAACAAGGTTTGTAAATCGTTTTTAAGAACGATCGGTAAAAAACAATCGTTTTTGAAAACGATCGACACTTATTTTGTACTTTTAAAAAAACGAAAAACGATTGTGTTTGAAAACCATAGTATTTTAAAAACAATAGTTTTTTAAGAAAGCGTTAGTTTTCGATTTGTTTTTTGGTTTCAAAGCGCAAAGATCGTTTTTCAAAAAAGTGGAAACGATCCATCCCTAAAGAACTAAAATGTGAATTTTCTCATTTTGTCATTAAAATATAAAAACTAGAGGAGCTACGAGGTCATCAATAATGTTGCATACATTTGACATTCTCCTTCTGTCGTAGTTCATTTGGTTCTTAAAATAATAAGCATAAAATACAATACAATGCTATTTCCAACTTGTGGTTAGCCTTTTTATGATTTGGATTTATATTATAATAATCATAATAATAATAATAAAAATAATAATAATAATAATAATAATAATGATAATGCACTCTAGCTTTAAATTCTATCTGCCAAGGATGAAAAACAATCTCTCAATTATCATATTTCGTTAGTTTTAGTTAGTTACTATTTCACTATAATTTCATCGGAAAATTAGTTTAACGTTTTATTTGTTAAATTAATATAAAACTCATCAAATATTAATGCAAGGTCTTTCATTAATAATTCATCATTGTTGAATAAAATAATAAGTTTTCCTTGTGTTTTAATATCAACAATGTGTCCGGGTTCTTTTTTAATTAAACTCTATAATTTTTTTATTTCATATTAAAAAATACTTTAGATAACTATACAACTGTGGAATCTTATGTTTATTCAATTGTTGTTCGTAGCAAATAGTATCTCCAGTGTACCTTGAAAATCAACATATTAAGTGAAACGGGTCTGTGTACACTGCACAATTGCTGTATTTCGTATTTGCTAGATGTGTTTACAACATCAAGTTGCATAGATATCGGGTTTAATAAATTAAAGATTAGTTCAGCTCTTTCATTAGCAACTCTATATAACCATAGGAGGTTAAAAGCATTTAATTTTGGTTATTTTGATAATTCACATAATAGTTTCCTATGACCAGAATATTTCATTGATTTTTTATGTGAAAGATGGATCCCATGTCAGGCTTCGACATCCGTCGTGAATTTACTTTTCCGCCCAAAGACAGTACACTGCAGTACAAAAAATGCTTACACCTCTGAAATAACTTTATTCAGGCTGAAAGGGACTGAAAAAATTCATACCGAGAGATTCTTTTAATTACTCTCTATATATTCTATTCTCTATGTATATAACTAGTTATCCTCACAGAGTGTACTGCAAAACTGTACTGCAATTGTTTGTTTAGATTTTGCCCCAGCAAGAAGAAGGATGGAAATTGATAAAGATTCTCTTTCAAATGCTGGAATAGAACTGACAGGTGAGGATACTTATGGTTAATTGAATTTATTAATTAATTAAATCCCTTCTACCCTTAATTCATAATTAATACATACATTACTTAAAATATAACAAAGAAAAAAGTAATTTAATTTTGTCATAGTCGTTCTTTTTGTAATTGTACTATAGGAATTGAGTTTTGCCACAAACTTTGATTTTGTAATCCATATATCTTTGCAACCCTATGTTGTATAACCTTAACTTTTAAACTATAAATTCTGTTAAATCAATTAATCTAGGTTTAAAATATTAAGGTTTACGCCATCAGGTTGCAAAGATAAAGGAATTAGAGAATTTGAGTTTGTGGCAAAGACTCAATACATTTCATTTGGCTGAGAATTCTCCGAAAAATATTCTTTTTTATTTTATAAATATTATCATTATTAAGTTATTTTTAAAAATATTGCATGCAAAAAGACTATACTAATCTTAAATACTTTTAGTTATAAAATATATCAATTTTTTACTTCTAAATACATTTTTTATGAGATAGAATAAAGTTTAACAATTGGCCGAAAAAAGGAAAAGTCAAAATTTGCTTTTATAAAATAAACATGAAAAGAATTACAACTTTTCTAATTCCTATATCTTTTTAACCTGATGGTGCAAACCTGTGCTATTTTAAAATAAGATTATTTGATCTCACAGAATTCTTAGTTTTTAATATCCAAGGTTCACAACATTGGGTAGTAAGGAAATTGAAATTAGAAAATCAGAGTTTGTGGCAAAGTCTGAATTTCAATTAGCTTGATTTAAGACGCTGAGCTGGATCTTTACTGCAGAGCTTTCAAGCATATTGATGCTGATGGGAGTGGAGAAATTGATGCAATAGGTAACATATACAATGGTAGATACTTTCCCGAAGGCCTTTTCCCAAGTGGCAACTTCCCAACCGTGCATTTCACAAGCCAAGCGGCAACTTCCCAAGTCTGTCTTAGAATCAGCGTATAGTTTCTAGTGAGTTCTAGCCACAGTGTTCGGTCCCATAGCCGCTTGCGGCGCCTCAGAAGGCCTAACCTAACCTTTGGGAAGTTGCACATTCGGGAAGTTGCCACTTGGGAAATTGCACATTTGGGATATCGCCTTTGGGAAAATACCTATAGCACCATATATAAAGGGAGGGGGGGGGGTGTATATTGACCCCCTTCAGAACATACAATACAGAGGATAGATTTATTAGAGAAACTCCAGGTCCCATTTATTGTGAATAACCCTGTTAATCTGTAAACTACTATTACTATATAGAATATACAGTCTGCTAATTGTAATGCTATTACAGCTCTTTAGAGATGTATCTACAAATCAACCCTCGATAGATAGATAGATAGATAGATAGATAGATAGATAGATAGATAGATAGATAGATAGATAGATAGATAGATAGATAGATAGATAGATAGATAGATAGATAGATATGTAGATTGACGGATGGATAGAAAAATATTTGCTTGAAATTTCTTGTAGGGTTGCAACACACATAATATTTTATTGACATTGACATGTCTTTTGTAAACTCTACATCCTACACGCTACACTCTACACTCTACACTCTACACTCTACATTCTACACTCTACACTCTACACACCCTTCAAATTTGCAAATTAATCTTTAAGCAGAAATATATAATTTTAAATAGTTTAAATTTTTATTTTAAAGTTTCTCTCCAACAGTAATCTCCATAACTATACTTATAAATCTTAAGGATTTTATGACATTAATACAATATTATTGTCACATTAAAGATATTAACTGTCCAAGTGACCCTCCAGAGAATGCAACATTTACAATTGCACTCTTTAAACTTTCCTATGATCAATAATGTGAAAAGTGTTAAGTTCTGACATTTTCCTCCATAGTTTTTGAAGCAAAAATGCGCAAAAAAACTTTATATAGAAACCACAAGAAGAAGATAATGGATATCTCCTTTATTCTTCAATTAAAGCTTGGTTCTATTATATTTTAATACATTTGAATAAATTTTCTTTTTTCACATTTACGCGTAAACATCAAAACTAGAGCCTGTCAAAAAAGCGAACCAGAAAGTTTGCATAAATATTACATTTTAATTCACAGTGTCTCACTTTGATTTAAAGATCTCAAAATGTCAAGCTAAAATTGATGAGAATGTTGCCAACTACCGTCGACCCTGTCTTAAAAAATTATTTTAAGCAGGTTGAATCATGTGACGTTTATTAGTCAAGAGACTTGAAATTACGTTTACAGTTCCCTTTAAGTTCATACAGATCAGAACCAATCTTTACAATTTTACAAAATAAAGTCGAGTCTAATCCTGATAAATAGAGTCGAGTCTAATCCTGAAAAAGTAGAGTTGAGTCTAATCCTGAACAAATAGAGTCGAGTCTAATCCTGAAAAAAATAGAGTCGAGTCTAATCCTGAAAAAAATAGAGTCGAGTCTAATCCTGAAAAAGTAGAGTCGAGTCTAATCCTGAAAAGATAGAGTCGAGTCTAATCCTGAAAATATAGAGTCGAGTCTAATCCTGAAAAAGTAGAATCAAGTCTAATCTGTAAAAATAGAGTTGAGTCTAATCCTGAATAAGTAGAGTCAAGTCTAATCCTAAAAAAAGAGTCGATTCTAATCCTGATAAAGTAGAATCGAGTCTAATCCTGAAAAAGGAGAGTCGAGTCTAATCCTGAAAAAGTAGAGTAGAGTCTAATCCTGAAAAAAGTAGAGTAGAGTCTAATCCTGAAAAAGTATAATCAAATCTAATCTGAAAAAATACAGTCGAGTCTAATCCTGAAAAAGTAGAGCCAAGTCTGATCCTGGGAAACAGGACGTACTGCATGTTCTCAATGAATCCATGTTGGAAAGTCGACCTGTTAATATAGTTTTAGGAAGAAAAATACCGGGGGAAAATTTAAATAAAATGTCATTCAAATTTCTCCTGATATCTAACTGAAACTGACATTAATGCACACGCTAAATACCTTTAATAAAACAAGAAAAATGACTTTTTTAATATTATTTTTGAAATAATTCTCTAACAACAACTAAAATCTTTAACTTGAATTTTTTTATTTTCTTTCCAGTAATTTCTAAAATCCTTTTTTGTTGCTAAAAATTAGGGTGGATATTGTAATACATAGCTCTCCTGTATCCCGAGTCCATTAGCGCCTGAACCAATCAAGGTTCGGTCATGTGTTTGTTGTCTATTCTGAACCAATAGAAATAGTATGGCGGTAACATCTATCTATCTCATTATCCAATTAGAGATATGAATCCTTCAATCGGCTGTATCAGTAAATGAAAATACTTACTTCTACTGAAACTATAGTAAGTAGTAGAAGAAAAGTTCTATTTTGATTTAAAGGGACTGTACGCGTAATTTAAAGTGACCCTCCAGTTAACAAAAACATGGATATTTAATTCATAATTAATCAGACAATGCTTGTCAGTGTACACTTGTATAATAGAACACGCCACAGTTAATTCAGTGTTAAGCTACAGATCTAAAAACTACATTGTTAAAAAGACCTTGAAAAATTAGAAACATTTTAATTTTTGTCGAAAATAAAAAAAAAGTTGGAGTTTTTTTTTTTCAATGACCTGGTCTTAAAAATTAGACAATGAAATTGCATTGCAACCCTAAACCTTTACTCTCAGGCCTTTTTATAGGCGGGGGGTAGGACGCCCCCCCTCAGGCTATACATAGATTCAAATCTCCAACCTTTATATAGTTAAAAAAAAAAAAATATAAAACTTGGTTTGCCATGGTTTCTTTTTGATTGATGGATTGATGGAAAGGTTGGTTTTGATGAATATTGAATAATGTGAGCACCAAGTATGTACAATCTGTTTTGATGAATATTGAATAATGTGAGCACCTAGTATGTACAATCTGTTCCTAATCCTATGCAATATATGCACCCCCCCCCCCCTATTGTTAAACACAAAGGAATTATGATTATAAATAATAAGCTTGAATAAGCATATAAGCAATAAGCTTACACAAAACCATGTGTGACTTAATCCATTCAGAAAGGGTTATCTTTTGCTTTAACGGATTAAGTATAATAAAATAAAAACATTCAAAGTTTTGGATTTCACCTAACATAAATATGTTATTCTATAAAAAAAAACTCTGACCAACGATTTCCACTAAATAAATGGTTATCATGGCTTTAGATTAAACAAAATGTATTCTATAAAACTAATAAATATTATGAATATTGATGTTCTGGGATAGTTTGGTGAATGAACATAATCTATATATTTACATATATAGAGAGACTCAAGCTAATGATCTTGTCTGATAATCATCCTAATGAAGGTTAAAGGGATTGTAAATGTAATTTGGAGTGGTTCTCAATTCAAAGATGACAATGCCCGATTTACAAGTGTACTTCTATTCAAATATGAATTTTGTTTCTTTAAACTCTATATTTTCATTTACAGTATCTCGGCAAAAGTGACCAGCGCATTTCTTGCTTTCAATGTAGAAATTATTAGAATTAAATGATAAGATTAAGGTTTCAAGGGCACCATTTAAATCGGGAAGTACCATCTTTGCATGGAGGATCACTTGAAATTACAGTTACAGATCCTTTGAGATAGTTCTAATAATGTTAAACTTAGAAGATCTTAATCTTTATAAATTATTTATTAAAATTTAAATCGGTCACAATCATCGACCTGATGTAGATTACCCCTGGATATTAGTTTGCTTGAACAATTAGGTAAGGTGGTATCCAGAAATAGGATGGATTACCCCTGGATATTAGTTTCCTTGAACAATTAGGTAAGGTGGTATCCAGAAATAGGATGGANTATATATATATATATATATATATATATATATATATATATATATATCTTGTCTGCCAATATAGTAAGAATAATTCAGACAACTAATCAATTAGCACCAGGGAACAAAGATCCTTCGAGGCATAATTAATTTGTTTTTGGCATCAAGGTCTTATTACGGGGAATACATGAGTAATGATGGTAGCAGTAGTCATGAATAAAAATAAAGAATTATGTTTTTTGTGTGGTCTAAATTTGGCATTGATCTTTTCTTAAATAGATTTAGTATTTTGTTTCATTTTATTTTTAATCTTGAACCTGAACTTGACTGTAAACATGAATCCTGTTATTCAAAAGTTTACACAACGGATATCAAGTTCAGTCGCAGAAGTTAAGCGTTATTCTAATAAATAGTTACGCCCTTTCCTCCTCCTGCCATTCAATTTAATCATCTATGATATAGTTCTTTTGAAGTTGTTCTACCAGATAACTACAGGGTGTCCCACGAAACATGGCATGGCAGTTTTTACGTCTTCTTCCATAATTTTTAAAGATTTTTGATACCAAAAAGAATAATAAAGAAATATTATATGGCAGTCATATTATATTAAAATTAATTACAAAGCAAAATAAATTTGAGTAAAAGATTTTTTTTTAACGAAATATACTTTAAAAATTCTTTAATATCTAACACAGTATCTGGAAGATGACATTCAAAACAATTATGAAAAGGGTGAGCCCGGCGAGATGTTAGGTTGGACAGCTGTCTATTCCGTATCAGCCCCTTTCTACATAAACTCATTCATATAATTCTTTCTGGGGTACTGCTCCTACTTCAGTACAAACTTTTTGTTCCTATTATTCCTGATTGAAAATCCTTTTCTCCTGTTCAGAGTTTAAAGGAGTTCTTGGCTGGTTAGGAATACATCTGGAGGAAACTGAGGTTCGGGATATGATTGCTCAGTACGATGATGATGCTAGTGGAGAGATTGGACTAAATGAATTTGTTGTTCTTATGGTGAAACAGGTTTGCACGTTAAATCAATCAATTATGTAAATTTTTTAACTTTTCTACTATCGTGTTTGTTTGTTCGTGTTTAATGTTGCATTTTTTCATGGTTTTAAAATTGGGTTGCCTGAGCTGAGACTTATCTGTTCCTCATCTGAGTATAAAGATGATATGTTGGCCTTATATCAAGCTGGGTTCTAGTACTACAGGTAATATGTTCTTCGTCTGAGTATAAAGATGATATGTTGACCTTATATCAAGCTGGGTTTAGTACTACAGGTAATATGTTCTTCATCTGAGTATAAAGATGATATGTTGGCCTTATATTAAGCTGGGTTCAGTACTACAGGTAATATGTTCTTCATCTGAGTATATAGATGATATGTTGGCCTTATATCAAGCTGGGTTTAGTACTACAGGTAATCTTCTATATAATAATATGATTTATTTATGCAATGCGAATCAACATGATAAATATTTTATCACAAAAGTTTGTTATACAACCATTTCTCTTTGCTATTTTGTTCTGTATTTCTAAAAACTGGTTTCTATTCAAACCGGTTCTCTCTGGGTGGAATTTGTAAACAAGAATAGGTGCATCAGTGTTCGCCTAGTATCCGAGGAGGATAAAAGCATTTAATTTTGATAATTTTGAAAATTCACATAATAGTTTCCTATGACCAGAATATTTTATCGAAAAATTTTTATGAAAATCGATTCCATGTCAGACTGTGATATCCGTCTTGTGTTTACTTTTCCGCCCATAGACAGTACAATGCAGTACAAAAAATGCGTACACCTCTGTAATAACTTTCCTTGCATTAGTACCTTGGTCATTCCTATCAGCTTAAACGTTTAATGTTCAATATGTCAAATAGTCTTCAGTCAAATTCAAATTTTTAACACAGGGACAGGAGTTTTCTAGCAGTTAGCCTGCAATAGTTTGACATTTTTTAAAGAAATGTTTTGACCCCTCATGAAAAATTAGTGTTAACCCTCTTTATTTTAATGATGCTAAGAGGATCAAATTGAAAGATTGAAAGAGGTTTTCCTTCTCTTGGATGTGGATAAGAGTGGAGAGATGGACCTAGAAGGTTAAATTCTTTTATCTTATAATTCAATATGTTTAATACTTGAACTTTTAGTTAGAAAATATAATAAGATTTAGGATAAAGTTCAAATACATAAAAACAATTAGGGAATTAGAAGTAGAATTTATTTTTTTAAAGAGAAATGTATGTATGTATGTTTACTGTAGTGTACACCATTCTCACCACAAACTCTGATTTTATAATCCTTATGTAGCTTTGAAACCCAATATCGGAAGAATTTATTAAATGTCGTTTTCTAAATCTCCTGAAAATGGAATGCCGCAAATATTTAGCTTATTTTTGATTAAATATCTTTATAGAAATCTTTAAAGATGTTCCCACAGTCCCTGCATATTTCATGGCTGTTATATATTTTTACAAAAAAAGAGACAAAAAATAATAGTTTAAAAAATCAAAGGTTTACATCATCATGGCCAGCATAAATATAGGGAAGAAAGGGTGGTAATTTCCTAGAGAACGATTTTTGGACACCCCCTCCCCCCCCGGGCCCTCACCCCCACTCCTATCAATTTATTTTGTAAATGGATCATAAATGTAAGACATGAATATAATTGACCATGTGGCCGCAGCGCCCGGCCCCCTAGCCTGTCCTAGCCGCGGTGCTCGGCCCAGAAAGTGTCTTAACCTAACCTAACCCTAAATAAATACTAATTTAATTGAAAATTTATCGAAAAAGTGGTCATGTACAAAATTGATAGGAGGGGGGGGGAGGGGGGTCCAAAACTCGTTCTCTAGGACGGACCCAAAAGGGTTTGTTTACATAGCCCCTAAAATGTCAAAGTAAATTAAAAACAATTCCCCGCACTTTAGCTTTAAAGGGACAGACCGGCTATGTAAGGTAGTTAAACTGAGTATGTAGTGTTGTGGAAAGCTTCTTTAGGATTCATTTGAGACATGTACATTTTTAAAGATCTGTAAATCCTGAGTTTGAGCGCAAAGCCGACGTTCAAACCCGTCCTTTTGGGTAGATACGTTTTCAGAACTGTTTTTTTAATTATTAAGTAACGACGACAAAAATGTAAACATATCTATATATAAATTTGGCTTGTCTATTTGTTTGTCTGTCTGTTTATATCCAATAAACGTCTAAACGGCTGAACCGATCGGGCCCAAATTTTTTGTGGGACATCACGTGACCACAGGGAAGGTTTATGAATGATAAAAATTTAAAAAAATGTGTTTCAAAGGTTTTTAATTTTGTAAAAAAAATCAAATTCTTGAAAATCCGCGATTTTTTTCATAAAATCCGCAAAATTTTTTTCTTCTTTCTTCTTAAATGTAAACAAAAAGAACATGTTCACAATTTAAACAGAAGATGGGCACGAAGCGCCCTAAAAGCCTAGTAATAATATGATGATTAATCTCTCTTTAATCACAAAGATGTTCTGCAGATTTCCTGGAATTTTTATTAAAATGACGAAATTTAATGAATTTGAAGAAATCTGCAAACAAATTCATAGAAAATAAGAATTTCAATATAATGATTAAAAAGATTTATTGACAAATATCTTTTAAAAAATATGTTCCTAAACATCTCATTAGTTTACTGTAGAATTTTTACTATATTTTTCGTCGTCATTATTTAACAATTTAAAAAACTATTCTGAAAACATACCCACCCAAATTCATGATTTTGAACGTCGACTTTGCGCTCAAACTCAGTAATGATACATCGTGGAAACGTTTTATATGTCTCAAATGAGTCCTAAAGAATTTATCCACAACACTGCATACTCAGTTTAACTACCTGACATAGCCGGTCTGTCCCTTTAATCTCAGTGATATAACCATAGAGAATAGAATATATAGAGAGGAAATAAAAGAATCTCTCGGTATGAATTTGTTCAGTCCCTTTCAGCCTGAAAGGGAGTTCAAAGTGTACAAATCATGTAAATGTTCTCAAATTATATGCAGTAGAGTACATTAATACAGTATGTTCCCCAGACTATCCATTTCAATTTCGAATTTTTTAAACTGTTAAATAAACTTTATAATGAATTAGGTGAATAAAAACATCATATGATTTATAGTTATAACGGAAAATCATCGTTTGTAAAGTGGAAGGCATAGAGTCTATGTGAAATGATCAGTGGTCAATTATGAAACCAGCCTATTTCATAATTTGGTTTTCTTTCAACAATAATTTTAGATTTTCTATATAATGATATTCCAGGGCCCAACAGGTTATATAGCATAAATATGTGAAGTACACCTGCAGTATGGAAACAGTACAACAAAATGGCCGTTTTACACTTTTTTCCATTAAATTCCTCTCTATATATTCTATTCTCTATGGATATAACAGTATAAGAATATATATATATATATATATATATATATTTATATATACAGATACAATTCAAAAAGAAAAATCCGTCAACATTTAAAAATTATTTAAAATGGCCGACTTTAAGAGAAATAGTTCAAAGCTAAAGTTATTTCCAGATAAGGGGTGCAAAGCGCTTTAAACGCTTAGTTAGAATAATTTGATTTGTTAGTTTAAATTCTTAGAGACGACTAAATCTTAATGCATTTACTTAATGCAGTCTTAATTGCACTCTGAGACAGATTTTGTTTTATCTGATATTTTAATTTATATAATTCTTCAAAGAATAAATTGATTTTCCTTGCACTGTATACAACATACAATACATACTGTACACATTTACTTGTACTGTATACAATATACAATACGTGCTGTACACATTTACATGTACTGTATACAATGTACAATACATGCTGTACACATTTACATGTACTGTATAGGACAGGAATTGGGACTTTCCACAACCTCTGATGTTTTAATCCTTATATATTTTATATTTGCAACTCAAGGTCGTAAACCTTCAAACTATAAATCTTGCAATACCAAAGAATCTAAGTGGGGAAATATCAAAGGTTTTCACTATCAAGTTTTAATGATATAGGGATTAGAAAGTTTGAGTTTGTGACAAAGAATCAATTTCTTTGAGTTACATTTATGAAAATTCAAGACGATATTTCGTACTACCTTTTACTCCATGTTGTATTTAGAGCTGACAACCGTCCTGCAGTATCTAGGGTTAAACTATAACCCGGAGGAGATTCAAGCAACCTTTGACGAGTTCGACACCGACGGGAGCGGGACCATCGAGTTCTCGGAGTTCTTGGTCCTCATGCACAAAAAGGTTTACATAATATTGATAATAATAATAATAACATGGCAGTTTTTACGTCTTCTTCCATAATTTTTAAAGATTTTTGATACCAAAAAGAATAATAAAGAAATATTATATGGCAGTCATATTATATTAATAATAATAATGGTATTTTCAGAACGTAAAGATCACTGATACAGACCTGAAAGTGATTAAAACAATGCTCAAGGAATCAGCTCAATAGATCAATTAGATCAATTAGATCAATTAGAACAATTAGATCAACTGTATATTCATCGCAAGACTACAAACAATAAAATCAACTGAATTCATTGAATTGATTAGATCAAAGTAACAACTAGATAAAAAAATCGACCACAAAGATCAGCTACAGGGTTACATTGGATCATTCTTGTATTCGGGTTTCTTTTCTTATAAATAAAAAAAAATCGGATTATCATATTAAAAAGTTTTGGAATTTTAACCCTGTATGTCCAATAATTAGATTTTATCTTTGGCACCAAAAATGTTCAAGACCAATAACAAAGTCCACATCGTTAACTAGATCAAAATATAACAAAAAATAGATATTATATATTATTAACATTATAGTTATCAGTAAACTTCGATTTTAAATCTTTAAACAGAATTTCAAGAGGGCATTAACGTAGTTTATTATAGTGCCATAATTGACTGACAACAGCAGCCTTTAAACCTCTTTCTCAGTAAAGAAGGTTCTCTTAGATTAGGATTTTGTCTGTTAAACAACATTTTTGGAATTCTGAAGCTGAGACTTGAGTCTTACTCTCCTTATCTTAGCACTAACTCTCCTTATCTTAGTACTTACTCTCCTTATCTTAGTACTTACTCTCCATCTTAGTACTTACTCTCCTTATCTTAGTACTTACTCTCCTTATCTTAGTACTTACTCTCCTTATCTTAGTACTTACTCTCCTTATCTTAGTACTAACTCTAATGTTCAAAATTAGACCCAACGTTTGTGAGAGTTGTCTCAGGAATATTAGTTTGTAACATATCTCCGGGCTCAAGTCTCAATAATAGCTTAGCCTTGAGACTTGAGACTTTTTCAAGAATTATGTAAATCGCATTTTCTGAAGTCGAAATTTTTGAATATTCATGAAAAAACTATAAGTTTCCATTTATGACATAAAGTTGAAGATTAGCGCCATCTTTTTCAAAAGTTTCGACATGAAAAATCATTTGAATTGATTGATTTAAAGTTATTTGAAAACTTTAAAATAAGTTTGAACAGTTGTCCAATAATATTTCTGACAATTGTATAGAGAAAGTTTATTGTTAAACATATTTTATATTTATTGTAAACTTTTAAAATATTTTAAAAGTGTGATTTTAACTCCATCTTTTGGAGAAAATTAGCATTAAACTTTATTCTTACTCACGAATATAACTCTCAAGCGGCTCTCAAGGCATTTCATTTTTTTATCATTAAAGAATCATAGAAATAGACAAATTTAAATTTGTGTTCAATTTATTGTTATTTTCAACTTGAAAAGTATTTTATAAAACTGTACCCTTTCAATTGTATGATGGTTTATCAGAATATTTCTCAAATATACATTAGTTAAAAAAGACAGTATTTATTTAAAATATAAAAAAGTTTTTAGAACATAAACTATGATTTAAGATTTCATATCAATGTTAATTTTCAAGAATTTACTCACTTCGGTAACAAAACAAGTATTTTGAAAAGGTAAAATCTAAATAAAATAAAAAATAAACGGTTCTTTTTAAAATTAAAAAATATTTACATGCATTGAAAACTTTAATATTAATATCACTTTTTTTCAGTTATTTATTTTGTAAGTTCTAAAGGTGGACTCTGTTTTGAATTGCAGATTATAAACAAAGCGGAAATTGATATGAAAGTGGGGCTTATTCTGAAATCGCGACAATGATTCCAAGTCGAGATTTGTTTAAAAATGGAAAAACCGGCATTGTTTAGAAACCAGTTTACGTTTTTATAAAAACAAATCTCCTACATCGATTTTGATTTCAAAAAATTATTGAAAAGATGACAATTTTTATTCTCTAAATGCTGTAAAAAATGTAGTTACAGTTTTATTGTCAATTATTGCTTTCGATATTGGAAGAAATCCCAATCTTTAAAATTGGGCCCATTTCTAACACTTAGTGTTAGAAATGGGCCAACAGCCTGGTTTGGAACTGACATCCCACTGGCCCTGTATTAAGGAGCCTTTTGCATTATATATTTGGCAGTAGAGAACACAATACATAATAAATTATTTAAGTAAATAAGAGTAATTTCATTTGACCCTTCATGCAAATATGGCAATTAATGTCCAAATCAAGTATGAATAATATATCAATGTTTATAATTTCGAAAAATTATAATTTTCAGTTGTGTTTTTTTTTTATAAAAAAAACACATAGGAATTATTTTAATTAAACGCAGCCCAGAAAAACGATTAAAATCCCTAGCTTTCACGGTATGTAAATTTTTAGAAAGGGATTTGGTAAATTCAACAGTTGCACGCCTGAATCCTGAATCCTACCTTTAATTTGAGCAACCATCAATGTGTAAGAAATCGTCTTATCTGCAAAAATCTGCAAAAAGGCTCAAATTCTCTTAATTTCCCTCTTTGTCTATGCTGGATATTTCCGCAAATCACCTTAAAGAAAGAGAACAAAATTGGCATTTTAAGATTTTTTACAACTTTTCTCAGACAAAAAAAAATAAATAATAAAAAAGAGGATCACTTCAAATTACGTAAATAGTAATTCTAAGATCTTTAATAAAAAATAAAAAGTTTTTAAACTTTTTCATTCTTTTTAATCATAAATTTACCCTTTGTAATGAAGTATTTTTTTGCTTTGTTTTCTAAATTCTGTGAAAATGTTTAATTAAATTTAAGGCTAATTGCATCAGGCTAATTTATGTCAGACTGTTTTTAATTAATTGAGATGGAAAACGATAAATTACAATTGTTAATCTTTTCTTTTGCAAAATCATTGATTATACATATGTTTAATTTCACTTGGCTTTTAAGACGCTTCGCATCCCATACAATTTATATGATACTTTTCAATCAGCCATTTTTCTTTTTAATTGTTAAACTAAAAAATTTGAGAATTTTTCTGTAAACATAGCAATTTTATAATTTCAAAAAATGTACTTCTACAGACTAACAGATTTGCCAAATTTATGAATAGGTTACAACAATTCTTTCTGGTAATACTTTTAGCTTTGAAATATTAGTTTACCTCAAACTTTCTTAGTACATTCTAAATAAATTTCATTTAAGGATTTTGTAGATTATTTTCCTTAATCTGTCATGTGAGGTTACTGCTCAACGGAATTGAATCTTTGTCTCAAACTAAAGCTTTCTAATTCTTATATCTTTGAAACCTGAAGGTGTGAACCTTTGGTTCCAGATCATAAAGTAATCAAAGAAATCAAAGAACAATTTTTTGAAAAATCGGGGAAAATTTCTTGGCGCATTTTTTATTTTTTAGTCCAGAAAGTTAATCCTAGTTTAGATCTGGAACCAAAATTAAAACTGAAAATCTTTCAAAATGAAGATAGGACCTCAAATTCAATTTCCAAGTAAAAAATGGAGAGAAACCAAAAAAGGAAAAAATAAAATAAAAAATAATTCAATAAAAATTTGGAAGGATAATAACCACCATAAAACAGGCCCAAGTCAAAATCGGGAAAACCTAGATTTTTTCAAAAAAAAAAAAACTTAGGGAATGGGGAAGGATATTGTTTTATTTTTTTCTTCATTTTGAAAATACATTCCTAGAGTTAATTATTAATCTGACCTCCATGTTAAAATCTCAAGATAACAGCTCAACAAATGAAGCCATGAATATCCCTTGAAAATTTGTGTCATTTGTGGGAAATGTGCCCATTCTTATTTCACATCTAGATTATTTGATCAATGAGATTCCATGGCTTTAAATATGTAAGGTCTGGATATTGGGTTGCAAAGATATAGGAGGTAAAAATCAGAGTCCATTTCTGAAAGGTTTCAATCGTATTTATCTATATATAAATTTGGCTTGTCTGTCTGTTTGTTTGTTTGTCTGTCTGTCTGTTTGTATCCAATAAACGTCAAAACGGCTGTACCGATCGGGCCCGAATTTTTTGTGGGACATCTAGGGAGCCCAGGGAAGGTTCATGAATGATCAAAATTTCAAATATTTGTCTCCATCAAAAGTCGATCTTCATTAAATTTTTGAAAATTTTGAAAATCCACGGAATTTTTTGTGAAAATCCGCGAATTATTTCTGTTTTGTTTTCGCGTCCATCTTCTAAATTAATTGTGAAACATGTTCTCTTTGTGTACATCGTAAAACAATAATTTAAAAGACAATACAAAGGAATTAAGTTATAGCCACAAACTCTCACTTTTTAGTCTCTATCTTTACAACCCAATGTCCCAGACCTTAGATCTTACGTAGATATTTGATATTTCATAAGAATTATGTTAGATCGAAGAATCTAAGTTTGAAATATTAAAGGTTGACAAGATATTGGGATAAAAACACATTTGAGTTAGTGTCAAACACACAGTTACATTTATTTAATTCTTAATTGTCTTGATAGTTTGTATCTACGGGATTCATTAATAAAATAATTTATACAGTAATATGAATTAATTAATTATTTGATGCTTTTATTAGATCTTACATCATAGAATTATCTCTTATATACAAGTAAACTTGGATGTATACTTCATAATGCTGGTACCTAACACTGGATATTAAAAGGGATACCCTTGACTTTCAAACTGGGGGCAAACTGGTTTATCATCTATATCTTTATATCTTTAAAAATGTTCAATATACACCTTAACCCTGTCACAATTGGGGGCGGGGGGTGTTTTCCATCCCCCTCTTGTGTTTTTTCTTAATGACTTAAAAACAAATGACATAAGAACTCTAAAACTTCTTCACTATTTCAACTTCATAAATGTGAAATAAATGTCTTTTGAACCTTCTCTCATGTGCCAGACTGATTAAACTGGCGTTGCAAATTCAAGGTGTCAAGGTATTGTACTTTTTGTTACATATTATTAATAAATTACTAACTTACTTACTTACTTTCTTAATAACTAACATAAATTCACCAATCAGTTTATATCTGTCAACTATTCCAGAAAAATAAAAAATTGAAAATAATTTTTTTAGGTTCACCATAACGTCCTGTGTTGTTGTTTAGAAATAAGATGATTTATCTAGAGGCTAGACTCATTTATTTATGATTTATCTAGAGGCTCGACTCATTTATTTATGATTTATAGAGATGAAAGGGTGGAGAGGTATAACTAATCCAAGCACAGGGTGGTTCTGGATAAATCAAACAATTTGGTTTCTTCATTTTATTTCTTCTAAGATTGGTAAATCAGAATAAAGGAATTGAGTTTTTGCCACAAACTCTAATTTTCTAATCTCTGTATCGTTAAAAGCTGATTGTGTAAACCTTTAATATTTCAAACTTATATTATTTGATCTATAACAATTCATAGTTTGAAATATCTAAGGTCTAAAACATTTGGTTGCTAAGATATAGGGATTAGAAAAATTGAGTTTGTGACAAAGACTCAATTCCTTTGTCCTTAACATTGCTTTGCTTTAAGAATATTAAATTACAGAATAAATCTGAAAATCCTACTTAGTATATTTATTTGTTACAAACGTCCCACCTACATATTGAAAGGAAAGGGGGTTTAATTTGAAAAGTTTGTCCTACTCATCTTTTTTTCTATACTTTTTATGTCTCTATACATGTACTGGAAAACAATTCTCCGGCTTCATTTGTTCTTCAAAAATCTTTTCCTAAACCTTGTCCTAAACGCTTTGCCTCCTTTGGTTTAATTGTCCAATACAAAACTAGTTCTGCACATTTGTACTTAAAAATAAACGTAAGACAATCCTCCCCCCCTGCGTTTCCCCTTTAATGTTCTATTTCATTTCAATTCAATGTAAAATCTCGCTTATCTTTCTGATTTATCTCAGCTCAATCTAATTCAAACCACCATGTAGTCCTACAGATATTAGCATTCTAATACCATTAGACTAAAAGGAACCTCCCCCCCCCCTCTCTCTGTAGAATTGCATTCATTTCAAGTACTTCTAGCTTCTTACCAATGGTATCTAATAGATTTTCTAAACTTTGAATCTTACCAATACAGATCAGTATCTAGAATGTATCTAATAGATTTTCTAAACTAAGAATCTTACAAATACAGATCAGTATCTAGAAAGTATCTAATAGATTTTCTAAACTAAGAATCTTACAAATACAGATCAGTATCTAGAATGTATCTAATAGATTTTCTAAACTATGAATCTGGCAAATACAGATAGTATCTAGAATGTATCTAATAGATTTTCTAAGCTATGAATCTTACAAATACAGATCAGTATCTAGAATGTATCTAATAGATTTTCTAAACTATGAATCTTACAAATACAGATCAATATCTAGAATGTATCTTATAGATTTTCTAAACTATGGATCTTGCCAATACAGATCAGTATCTAGAATGTATATAATAGATTTTCTA